ATCGTCTGCTACACCATTATGATCACGTTCAGTGGTCAATCCGCTGTCAATAAATCATTTAACACGTCAGAAAAACAAGACCTCGTGGTTAGGAAATTAATGTATACAACATATGCTATAAGTAATATTTGTTTCAAATCAAATAAACTTTAAATTTGCGAATTTTCCTCAGTGTTTCTGAAATATATATTTTATTTTTGAAAGATTTTTAAAACGGAAAAATAAGTTTTGTTTACAAATGTCTAAAAAATGGCTAACATGATCGATTTTACAGAAAAAAAATGAAACTCTATTCCAATCAATATAATTTCTGTCTGAAATACACCAAAGTATTTTGCTTACCATAAATTTAATACTTTTTCTTTTATTTAAAAAGCTAAATTGAAAACTTCAGGAAGGCTTTTTCATTTTTAAAAAAGGCATTTAAAACATTACAATATACCAAATTTGTGCAGGTACCAACCTAAAATGGGCATGCATTTTCGATAAAAGAACGCCACCATTTTTTTAATTTACCAAAAATTATGGAATTAGCCAATTTAAATAAAATATTCATTAACTAGCAGTATAACCCACCTTTGACTGGGTCTTTTATTACTGGGAATTTTTGCCATTCAATTGGAGCAGTTTAAGTTTAAAGTCAGCCCACCCAAAAATCAATATCAATTACAACATTTGGGTGCAACTGAGGCACATCCCCAAATGGTGGTGGTCTGTGAATTGGGGGGAGAGGGGTGGGGATGGGATATGTAGTAGCAATTTTAATGGGGGGCTCTGAAAAGGAAACTATATAATAATAAATATTATTTTAATAATTTAATCTATTTTTATTAAAAGTTTTTATGAAAGATATATATCCAAAAACAGATAGTAAATTGTAAAAGGTTGCTGAGAGTTATAATGGACAGGAAGTAGTGGAGAGCCATTGTTTCCAACAATTTGGACTCAAAACCAGTGCTGAAGAATTATCTCTGAAACAAGAAAAAATTCATCAAAATCAGATGAAAACTGTGGAAATGCATAAACAACATGCGATCACACACACACATTTTGAGAATTATAGATATAGATGAATTAATTCATCAATTCTTTGGTGAATGTCATTATTCTAGAAAATGGTGGAAATATGGGGAGGCATTTTCTCTATTCCCCCCCCCACAACATCGATTGCATGTACAAAAGTAAAATGTCAATCATTGTCTCCTGCCTTCTTTATTTGTCTTTGTTTATTGTTCCCCGTCCTTAATAATGTTTTTCTTCTTGGTGCTACTTTGGCTTGTAATGCTGATCCTCTCACATGGTGTCAGTTGTAATGCGATCTCTGGTCAAGGTGTACATGTGACACCATATCCTAATCCCACTGGGGCAACGTCATCCACAAGACCAACCATTAGTCCTGTATGGTCCAGTATTACAGTTTAGACCTAAGTCTCCAGCTTCAAATGTCAATTCGATCCCACTCACCAGCCATGTTGGGATTTTTGATCCTGGCGAGTAGTTATCAGGTTGTAGAATTCCGAAAGCTCTCCGTTGATCTACCTGCAAGCTTGTTGGATGAGAACTGGGTTAACCACAAATAAATATGGCCAATTCGATCTGATTTTAGAGGGACAACAGTTTTATATATATATATATATAACATCAACAATACATATAATAATACAATTTTTGTGGCAAAACGTTGAATGTCTCTTGATGATCAACAAAAGAAAATACTTTGTGTAATTTTGTTAAAGGAGAGAGGTGGCTTCATTTTAATCCTTTTTGGTCTGTTCTTAGCACAACTACTAAAACTGTTGATGTTCCCATCCTCAGTAGTAGTAATAGTAGAAGTAATATTAGTGGCAGCAGGAGCCATGGTACTTATATCAACAGTACATGTTAGCAGGTGCTTTGTTCCAATCTTTGCCATCACCTCCACACTGTCTCTACCCCAACTCTGTGTTTTCTGTTTCACAGCATCCCCTTTTCTTTTCATTATTATTATTATTATTATTTCGGAGTGATATTGCCCCTGCCACATTGTTATCTACATGGAAAAAATATCTACACTGTATAAATTTTATTTTGGAATGATATCTACATAGTAAAACCTATGATAACATAATGAAAATGTAATTAAAATAAGCGGCATGTACATTGGCTAAAATGTCAACACAGTATAAACTTTAATTTGGAATGATATCTAAATAGTAAAGCATAATAACATATACTGTATATACTTGCATATCATGCGACTTTTGAAGACCTGATTTTGAAGCTAATAATGCATATATAGTTTGGCCAGGGCTAGCAGTACATACGCTAATTTTATATCTTATGTATGATGCGACCCCCTTAAAATTAGATCTTCAAAAGTCGCATGATACAAGATCATACACAGTATATAACCTAGAGAAAATGTAATTAAAATGTTAAAAAATTTTCTATTAATAATATTCTAGTGATAAACAGCATGTGTAGCTGTCCACTCATATTCGAGGATACTCGTCTACTAGGGTGGCTAGCCAATCCCTATTGCAGACGCTTGCTCAGGCGCATTTGTGTTTATTCAACACCCACAGAGCCTACCTGTTTATGCTTAGTTACAGTTTCTGGGAAAATGTGTGATATTTAGTGTGATCAACAACTTGAACAATGCCAACACACTCTAGCCCTCGGCGACGATGACTTGTGGCTTCATGCTAGCACAGCTCTCGATGACCCCCAAGGGTTCTGTCTACCCAGTTTCACTCACAAAGCTTGGATCAACCTGTGGTATGGTTTTCAGGCATTTCCAAAGGTGCCACACACTTAGATCAACCCCTCCAGTCTGATAACAGAAAGTTTCCTTCATGACAAATCGACCATGGTGAGATTTGAAACCAGGTGTCATGGTCAGAATGCAAACGTTCTAACCACTTGGCCATGTGCCCATAAACAGCACGTACATTGGTGAAAAATGCTAAATAAAAGGTGGAAGTGTAGATGGCATACTAAAGTGGATTTACGACCCATTGATAAGGAGCCAAAGTTTTCTTTCTCTTATTCTTTTACGCTCAGTAACCCTTGTGTCTTAGTGGCTTTGCTGTAGCTACTTCGAAAGATTCAGGATGCCTAAGGTTTTGAAAATGAAATTTTAAAATGAAAAATCTTTCTTAAAGCTTTTAGTTATTTTAATTTCAAGCTAATAGATTAAGTTTAATATTTCCAATAAGCAAAATACTTTGCAGTATTTCAAAACTAATTTTAAATTGACTGGAAGGAGTTTTTGCTTTGAAATTGCTAAGCATCACTGATTTTAGTGCCATTTTTAAACATCTTTCATCACAATGTAATTGTCTTTATTAAAAAAAAAAACTTTAAAAAGTAAAATATACTTTTCTGGAAATTTAATTGACGAATATTAGTTGATTTAAGGTTTAATTAATCTCATTTCAAACAAATATTACTTACATTTAGAATATCACAGAAATGCATTTTTTAACATGGTGACAGCTGTCTATTTTAGGACATGTTGACAGCTTGAATGACGGATGGAAGTTTTTTTAATGTTTTTTTCTATGGTGGGGGCAATCTTAAAAGTTTAGGGAAATATTTTCTGTAATCGTTTTATTGAATTTTAGATACTTTGGCTTTATTTTTACTATAGTTATTGGTCTTATTTTCTGTCAATGTTGTATATGGATGTTCATATTTACAAAAATTGGCACATTTATATACACCCAAAAATATTTCACAAGTCTTACTAAAATATTGGTGTTTAATGACTTATGATTACTAAATATAGTTTTTACATAATAACAATATCACCTAACCTCTAAAACTCTGATAGAATTTTAAAAGATTTAAAACTTTATAAATTATCATAATTACAAATTGTAAAAAAATGAAGACAATTCTTGTAATAATTCACTGAAAACTGTTTTTTCGTAACACCATAGAGTTCATAATATATCTTAAAAACAAAAGCTTTTCTAATTAATTAATGTCTTGGTTTTATGGCATTTTTATTTTATGATTTACAAAACATTTTCACTAACTGGGCATCTTGTTTTACAAAAAAAAATTTAGGATTTAAATTCTCCAAGGAGTCCTGCTTGTAAACATTTTTATCAAAATTTTCTAAAACAAAAGATTTTTAAAATAATTTTATTCATTTGTGAATAAGTCCTGGAAGTTTAATTAAAATCTAACAATTATTTGATTTTTGCAAGAATTTTCAAATTTTACCATAAAAAGATGCTAAAATTTTCCATACTAATCTTTGGCCCTTTTCAGGCAAGAAAAACAAGATTTTTAACCACAATTTCAAATGTTTTAAAAAGGATCAAAAAATATATTTTAACAATAAAAATTCCTTTGGTCTTTCCTCTTAATGATAACAAAGATTTTGATGATAAATCTTTGTTTTTATTAAGTTTGGGACATTTTTTCATCATGGTATGCTTATTTTTTTAGCAAATCAGTGGAGGTACTATGAATAATGTTATCTAAAATAAAAAAAATGATCTTGAACTATTGGTTATATGAGCTTAAAGGTAATTTATTTTTTAAGCATAAACAATACTAATTTCTAGGGTGTAATAGTTTTAGTCATCCATACTTTTCAAAAGTTGGGAGTGACATTAGAAGACTACTGTTTTGATTTATGACCTTGATTTCAGCTCACAGACTACTGTGTGTAGTTATTTTTGCTGTTTTAAGCAAAAAGTAAGCATTACTCTTACAAAATCCAGTTAATGCTTTAGTTTGAAACAAATCTCTTGGATTTTTAAGACCTTTTTAAATTTGTATTCATTTTCCATGTATAATTGAGGTTTGATGAGTGTGTAATGTTTTAAAAAATTTATTTAAATGCATAAGATTATCTTTCTTTTTTGTGGCTTAGCTTTATGCTACCTTTCAAATAAAACCAAAATTTAACTTCAAAGAATAAATTTACATTATTTAAAATGTGTTTTTTGTTCTTTCTTTTTACTAAGTTTGTGGTGATATCCAATATAAAAATTATGTGGGCTTACAGTCATATCACAATGAAACACTTGTTCCCATACAATCACCAAAGTTAAGCAATGTTGAGCTTGGTTAGCATCTAGATGGGTGACTGCTTGGGAATACCAGGTACTGTAAGCTTAGATGTATGGGTGGTGCAATGGATAATGACTTGGAATTGTTAATCGGAGAGCCAAGTTCCAATTCCTGTTGGGTTTGTTATAGTCACTTATGCTCAAATACCCTTAATAAATTCACCTCTTTTGCTCCAGCTATAGATTAATTAATAAAACTTGTATCACTAATTCATTATTATGTTAAAAAAACAATTCTTACAATCTAAAAACATTGATAAAGAATAAATGAATCAATCAAAACATTTTATATATATATATATATATATTCATACATGTTTCATTAAATAATATAGACAAGTGTTGTCTATTTTATGTAAATTCTTTTCATAACATCTGATAAGCTTAATAACATTATCATTAAAGAAAGAAAGAAAATCACAATATTGATCCATATTTTTTAATCCAATCTAAGCTTTCGGCTTACATAAGCCATTATCAAAGATGTCAATTACTGTACAACATATTAAGCAATATACGGACAAGACAGTGATGATAGTCTGTGTTTACATGGATGTTTTCCTCGCAGTGATGAACACGTGCATATAAGACGCTAGAAGCGAAAATCGCACCGCAACTCATGACATCACACATGACCACGCGAGAGTGAATTTGAGAAGTATTAAGTATGGGAAGTCGTTGGTATCAACCAATGACTTTGTTACCAATTATAGACATTTAAGGATATTTGTAGAGATTCCATAGTTGATTTTGTTTAGGTTGGGTTTCAACTGTTTGATGTATATTGCTTCAAGGATTTTTAGTTTTTGTCTATTGTTTTCATGTTGAAGTATAATTGTGTTTTTGACAAGGATTTTACGGAATTGTGTGTGCGGCCAGGCATGTTGTTTTAAATGCCTAAAAATTTTACATAAAATAGAGAACACTTGTCTATATTATTTAATGAAACATGTATGAATGAAAAAATGCTGCCTAAATGCACACAATATATACATATATATATATATTCTCTACAGAATCCTATTATAATTTTGCTTTTTGCTTCCTTTTGTTAGTTCACATGATCATTATGCCCAGCCAGTACCTCATAAATAATGGACTATTCCATTTTGATCACGTGGAAAGAGGGGAAAAACACTACTTGGTTTCACTGGAAGAAAGGAGGGGAGAGAGAGAGAACTAGATTAAGCTGATAAGAACAGATACTAGACTTTGATCTTAGACAAAAGGCTGAGAAGCAATTATGACTGAGATAAAAGTAACATTTTTCAGGAGCACAATATCAAATGACAAAAACCGAGTAAGGTAATTGCAAAAAATCCAGTTACCATAAATAAAATAACATCGCCTGCTGAATTATTTTAAAATTATTATTAAGAGAAGTGTTCATAAGACAGGCATTTGGCTGCAAGAAGAAAAAGAAATAAAGGGAAATAAACATGTTTAACATCTCCTGCCAATAGCTCATAAATAACGGATTATCCCGTTTTGATTGCATAGAAAAACAAAAGATACATGAAAGAAGGGAAGATATAAGTTTTTAACGACTGTTTCAATGAAATGAAAAATGTCAATTTCAAATCCTTTCATTTGTACCCACTTCTTAAAATACTGACCAGCATTCATGTTTATGATTGTTAATATTTAAAAATGTGATAGGGGAATTTCTACAGATACTTTATTGTTGTAGAACTCACCATGAGATTATTCAATCATTAACTTAAGAATTAAGATTCATCAGAAAATTAAATAAGAAAAACATTTTCATGGGTCTTTCTAGTGAAATGTACTTGTAAAATATTGTTTGTGTTTAAACAAACAAAACAAATTGCAATAAATTGTAGTGGGACAAAAAATAAGAATAATGAAATATTACTGCTATTATACTTTTACACACACACACACACACACAATATACATGTTGAAAATCCTTTATCCAAAATTCTTGAGACCAGAAGTGCATTGGTTTTCAGATTTTTCTTTGGAGGACTGTATATATATATATATATATATATATATATATATATATATATATATATATATATATATTATATATATATAAAGGAGGCACGGTGGAGTAATGGATAGCGGCTTGGATTGAGGAATCACAGAGCCGAGTTAATTTCAGTCAAATCCATTACATTCACTTACGTGCTAATACCCTTGGGAAAAGTATGAATCCTCTTCCTCTCCCTCCAGCTATGGGTAAAATAGCAGGACAGACTGGGTTCTATAGCCTTGGATGGCAACTGGTCTAGGAAAAGAACAACTCTGAATTCAAAACCTGCGGAGAGTCGTTTGGGAACCTTGTGGCATTCGACGCACCAGGTCTCTGTATTCATCCCTTCAAAAAAGTGTGGATGGTCCTGCACGAAGCCTTCACCACTATAATCAAATCTCATGTGCGGTGTCGGGCTGTCGGTTTCCTGGAAACTGATTTGCTTTACCCTCATACATCGAATCTCGACGGGAGAGTCGATTATATTTATATTAGTAGTACAATATTTTTATAAATATTGTAAAATTCTAAAATTAAATGATAACACTTTACCCCTGGTTTCATTAGAGTTTTCCTTCTCAAAGACGGACTGCCTTCACTACAGCTATTGAGTTCCATCTACCCCCGAATGTACTGGTTGTACTTGACCACAGCTTACCACTAATTGGTAGTAGGAATCGAGCAAGACCAATGTTATCTATTTTGTAAATGGTGGCTGTTCCTATGTCAAACTCAGGGCCAGATTAAGACCCATAGGGACCCAAAGCTCTTAAGATTTTGGGACCCCCATACATCTGCGAGTTAAGTATGCTAGTATGGAGTCTTGGTGAGCAGTGCAAATAAAGAGAACATGCAATGGGGAAACACTAGCTAGAAACAAATATAGAAGGAACTGAAGGCACATATGATCATTGAGAGCAGCTGATCATCAGTTCCAACCCAAAACAACATCAATCAAGAAAGAACCAATCACAGCTAAGCAGCCACTGTCACATGAGCCACAACCAGATTCTAACAGAACTGTGATCAGAAGTGGTTGTGTCATCAACAAACCAGCGTGTCACATGAACATATGGCTAGCATAATATCAAACAAACAGGAAGAAAGTCTACTTTTTTTCACAAAAATTAAATCCCATTAAGCTAATTAGTAACACTTATTCAAGAGAGCTGATGTGATGTATTAAGTAAATAAGAACCTCATTATCTCCCTTAGCTCATTCCCTTATTAACCAATCAGAATGGCAATAAAGATTCACTGCAGGTCAATTGTCTTCTCATTCAAAATGGCACCCTGTTGATTGAAATGTTAATCATGTTTGACTTATTTCTTTAGACATATACAACATCATATCATTACAATTTCAGTGGGACACTCTTCCCCTGATACCCTAAGCATATGTTTATTTTGCTTAATGGTTAATCTAGCCTCGGTCGGACTCCTCAGTCAGATGCTTCACACTCGTGTCTAGTTTTTTTTTTTTTTTTCCAACAGTTTGACATCCTGTGATATTGATAAAAATAAATGCTTTCTATTTTTTCACTTCCCAGATATTTTATTAACTATTTCAATTGCAATATATTTTTAATTTTTTTTTATTGATTGATTCGTTTTCTACAGTTTATCAACCCTTTGCAGGTTATTTAAAGCCAGAAAATATTTTTAGATTGTAGCAATTTTTGTTTTTGAGATAATTATAGTTTTATAATACAAGTCTTACTAATTAACCCATAGCTGGAGAGAGAGTAGGAGGATTCATATCTGATCAGGAATTTTAATGTGGATACAAAGTTGGGGATCAATTCTATATTACAATCAATATATAAACTGACCCCTCACATTGTGGCTACAGTAGTTTCTATATATCTATATTCCAGAGAATGTAAATAAATCTAAAAGACATGTTTCATTTATTGGTTCATTTTCTATGGTTTATCAACACTTTGCAGGTTATTTAAATAATTTTAGGTTGTAAGAATTTTTTTTTTTTTCAGATAATAATTATTTAGTGATACAAGCCTTACTAATTGACCCATAGCTGGGGGGAAAGTAGGTGGATTTAAACCTTTCCCAAGAGTATTTGCAAACAAATATAGCAAACCCAACAGGAATTGAAACTCAAAATCTCTAATTAACTCCTTGCCTGTTCAGGGCATTTTCATGTATGCTATCCAAATGTTCATGCTTGTTTTTACAGTTATAACAATTGCAAGGCAACTCAGCTTATTTGGCAAAGGAAATGTGCTGATAATAAAACTTGTGCATTATATGTGATGTACAAAATATACAAAATATAAGTTATTTACTCTATGCCCTGTGCATCACATGTGATGCACAGGTTTTTATTATGTGAAATGCTATATATCTGTTGAGTTGCCTCACAGTAGTTATTAATCTGAAAACAGGCAATAATGTGCAGAAAAACATTTAATTTTATTTTCATAACTACTCAATCTATATTTTTATTCAGATTCTAAGAGAGATATAAAAGAAACCCTACACTGAATTTTAAACATTTCTATGGTAAAAGAACTTAAGAAAAGATTGATAATGATATAAGTCTTGATGATACCTCATCTCCTGATGAAAATGAAGATGAATTTGGAGTTTAAAACTTTTCTTTTTTCTGAGCAAAAGGTAATAATCTCTATCTATAAAAGGCAGGATGTGTGTAATGAATGCACTGCCTCAATTTTCGACGGATTTGCACCAAAATTTACATGCACATGCTCCAAGTTAGCGGGAAGGCCAAGACCAACCTTGCATTTCCCAATTCCCATCAATAGTGGAAATAATCAATTTTTTGATGCTTTTACGGTAGTTTTCATGTAGCTTGCAGCCATTTTCTACTGGCCAGTGTGAGAGCCTATAGCTGGCTGCTATGAATAGGCAGGAAGATTCTAGTGGCTAGTGTGAGGGCCAACAGCTGACTGACACAAATGTTAACTAGTATGCTAGCATGCAAAAAAAATCGATAGCTGCATTCGTCACAAGTGGGAAAAATTTAAATCTGCATGGCACTTTACTCCAATTAGCTCATTCGCT